GGCTCGGTGACATTACCAAGCGCATGCGCACTGCTACCCTTACTTTGCAACGTTGTTTTTATATTAAAAGCCCAAAGAGATAAAAGGAGCGGCAGCACAGGAGCGCCGCCGCCGCCAGGGGTGTCGGATTGGCCGGCCCCGACGCCAAAAGGGCCAAAAGCCACACGGACGCATACACGCACACATTCACTCTCGCACACACGCTCACGCGCTCACAGGTCGCGACAGAAAAAAAGAGGCTAAAGCCACGCAAAGCCTCGTGAAAGGGGGTTGGGTGGCTCCGGGACGGAGCGGGACGGAGCGGGACGGACGGGACCGGGACCGGTGGGCGCGCCCGGGCGCGGATAAAAACAAGCAGAATAAAAAGAGCAGGGGGCGGGAGGAGAGGGGGGGGGGCAAACGAAAAACACAAACCCTCCTCGTCTCCTCCAACAAGTATAAGACTGGCAGCTGCTCGACTGAAATGAGCCGGATCCACAGAAATATTTAAATTTCAGAAGCAGACGTCGGCAGCGCCGAGCGTGACTTCCATTTGCAGTCCAAAGCTAAAGCCCCCCCGGCCACGCCCCCAGCCCCAGCCGCCGCCACGCCGCCTCCCTGCGCAGCGCCGCCGGCTCAGAGCAGCACAGTCTTCCTTCTTTTTCGGCGAGTTCTGATGGTGTGCAGATGGTCCTTTTGTGAGGCGCGGCGCGGCGGGGCGCTGCAGCTGCAGCCTGTCTGTTTGCACTGCAGCGCGATGCGATGCGCCTTTGCGAGGCTCGCCTCTGCTCGCTGCGGCCGGGGCCGGGCCGGGCCGGCCGGGGCCGCGGGCAGCACACACCGACAGGCACGGGGCCAGGGGATGGACCTGGGCTGCTGCTGGGCCTCTGGCAGCCGTACCGATCCAACGTACCGCGCGGCCAACAGCGCCCAGCAAGCCGCAGCACCCCGCCCGCCTCTCCCGTGGTACTAAATCCATTCCGCATGGGGAGCTGCGGGGCCGCGCTCCGGACCAAAGGCACCAAAGGCAGGCTGATTGGCTGCAGTGGCCCCGTATTATGTGCCGCGGTACCCGCCGCGCAACATGTGAACGAGAGGACCCTCCGCGGTACGTAGCGGGGGAGCTTTGGCAAGGGGGGGAGGAAGAGATTACCCCTTCTCTTTTACCTTCCTAGTAAATAACAGAGGGTAAGGGGAAACTGATGTGCCCCGTCGTCGTCGTCGCGTGCTCGTGCTCTCGCTGTTCAGCGTCTGCCACCCTCCCTCTCTGGCCGGTGAACTGAACCGGGGCTGCTGCTGGCCGATACCTGAGAGGTGAGGTCGTCGAGGACAGAGAGGGAGCAGCAAATGGTCCCCCCCCCCCTATCCCCAGGATCAGGATCCTCCTCACCTCAACCCTCGCCCCCCGAATCCTCGTGTTGGCCCATCCTCCCCCACCGCGCCCCCCTCCGAGCCTGTCAACAGCTATTACCCTCCCCATTCCCCCTCGGAGAAGGGTTAAACAAATCAACGGCCGCTCGCTCGAGCCCATTAAGGCCCGCGTCAATTACAAGACGCCGCCGCGCCCCGGGCCCCGCGCCCCGCACGCCACCTGCGCGAGCGCCGCGAGCGCGCAGATGGGGAGCGGTGGTGACGATCTGTAGGATGATTCCGCACAGCGCTTTCGTACCTCTGTCCTTGTCGCACTCATGGGTGACTAGCATAAGGTGGGAGAGAGAGGAGAAGACTAGCCGCTGTGCGGAATCACCCTGATGCGCCGTGAAAACAATCTTTGCTGTATCTCGCCGGAGACAGACCGGACGACGACGGGCCAAACCGCGCGGCATCTCAAACGCGCAAGCGTCGTCGTGCGCAGCGGATGAGAGTAATACGGGAGTAATAGCTCCCCGCCGGCTCCTCGGGGGCGAACAGAGGTCGGCATCCCACTGACAGCCCCGACATTTCCGGCAGAAGAAATGTTTTCAATTACGAGAAAAGTTGCGTTTGGTCGTGGGGAAAAGGGCGCGCACTGTGCGCAAGGGGGCGGCGGAGGAGGCGGGCCGCGCGGATCGGGGAGCGGCGAGCGAGGAAGGGGGGCGCCAGTTTATTGTTTGACGTCTCGCACACGCTCCGCCACGCTTCCTTGATCGCTGTCCGTCCCATCCGCTCGGCGCCGGCCGAGGCCGACGAGGAGGCCACGATCCGGGTAAGAATGACACCAAAGCTGGCAGCGCTGCAAACAAGGCTTCAAAGGCAAAGGGGCAGACGGAACACGCACAGCTATGGGGAAAAAATAATGGCGAAAGTTTCGGACTTGTTTACAAATTAATGAGAGAAAGCAGTGTAACGGAATTATTCTGTCAGCGAGCAGAGTAAGTATAAGTGACTTTGAATTGTGTGGCTTGGTGAAGAATGTTGGAATATCGAGTCAGGATAGGGTCTTTGAAGGAAAAACTAGTAAGAGTTTAACTTCGGCGCCTGAAGATAAAGGAAGTTTATCTGTGAAATCAGAGGTTTAGGGGGGGGGGGGTAGTGCCGTTGCCGTTTTCCTGCTATACATCCCAACAATGTTTCAGAAAGGAATGCGTCACCAAGGCGTCGAGCAGCTCCATCAGCCCCATTGTAGGGCGGGCGGTGCAGGCGGCGGTGCCCGAGCAGCCCGAGCACCAGCGGCCCGGGAGTGCAGCGAGGGCAGCGAGCCAGCTGTGCTGAGCTAGCGGGGCGCGCAACGGCTGCGACAAGGTGAGGAAGGGGAGAAAGGGCTGTGCGGGGCTGTGATCCGGGTCCATCGAGGCAGCGAGGCAGAGAGGGGGGCGCACGGGGGACCAGCGGTACTATTGTTTGTGACGGAACAAGAACAAACTCAGCGAAGGGAGCTAGGACTCGGGCTCACTCTCGCTCGCTCTCGCTCTCCAGCCCCACCCCTTGGATATCTCTCTCCCTCTCTCCCAGTCTCTTTGCTCCTGGAGGGGGGCAAGATCGCTTTTTCTCTCCCTCCCGAAACGGTGAGACTGGGCCAGGCAGGCGACTGGCTGCTGCAGCACCCCCTCCCATGCCCAACAAAAGCCTTTGAAGATTCGCAAAGATGTGGACGGTTACGGTAAATTGTCGGGGGGCGCTAGGGCGGCGAAACCTTCCAGACCCCGGGAAAATGGAGTAGCCTCTCGCTCACATCAGGTCGCGCCCTTGCCTTGTCGCACCCTCGCCCTGTTGTACCCTCGCCGTGTCGCACCCGTGGTTTTCACAGAGCTGTACACTTTGAACCCTCGCTGCCCGCAGCCCTGATGGCGCACATGGCGCCGCGGCTCACCCTGGCGTGGCTCGCGCTGCTGGGGACGCTGTGCCTGGCCCACGCCGCCAGCACGGGCGGGCCTGCCAGTGCCTCGTCGACGGCCGGACCTCTGGCTGACGGCGGTCTTGTTTTCTCCGCTGCCCCGGGTATGTGCGAACGGGCACACGAGCCAACGAAAACATGCCTCGACCCTTTGTTTTGTTTCTACAAAAATTGCTCGTTTGATTTTCAGCCCGGGCCAGCGGGAATGACACGTCCCACTTGCTGATGCGGGGCGCCATCCCGGACGGCGTCGACGCCAAACGGCCCAAGATCGTCGGCGGCGAAAAGGCCGAACTGGGCCAGTTCCCGCACCAGGTAAGCTGCTCCTCTCGGTCTAGAGGACGCGGCCACGCCACGCCCGCGTTCCACGTCACTCAACGCCCCCCGCCGCACAGGTGTCCATCCGGCAGCAGCAGAGGACGCACTTCTGCGGCGGCTCCATCGTCAGCAAGACGCACGTGCTCACAGCGGCCCACTGCTTTGACGACAAGCCCAAGTGAGTCGGCGGCGACGCGCGACCCGCGGCCTCCCGGCCCAGGCTCTGCACGCGGACTTCACACACTGCCTCTGTCCGCAGCATGTTCAACCAGCTCATGGTCACGGCCGGCTCGCTCACCTGGATGCCCAACACGTTGACGGCGGGCGGCTACACCCGCGACGTCAAGGACGGCCTGGTCCACGAGAAGTGGGTGCCGGGGGTGAGTATGGGCACACAGCCAGCCACGGGAGGGTAAGAGCTGGTCTGCGCGGGGCGCCGGCGGACTAGGCAAGCCCGCGGTGCTCAGCTGCGCACTGGGCCCCAGGGTTGCCTAACCCTCAGGCGCCCTCGCGGACGCTCCTGCTGAGGGCGGCGAGTATGTCAGTGGAGCGGACGCGTTCGCAGGCCAACAAGAAGTGGTACGACATCGCGGTGCTCGAGGTGGCGGAGCCGTTCGAGGAATGGAGCAACCAAGCCAACGCCATCCTCATCAACACCAAGGAGCCCCTGGACGTGGGCATGGACTGTCACGTCAGCGGCTGGGGCAGGACGGTCGACGTAAGTTGTGGTCGTCCCTCGGGCTCCTGGCGGTCGCCAAAGGTTAGAATGGCCGAATGGAGACTTTGTGCTGCAGTCGGACTCGGCCAAGCCGGCTGAGGAGTTGCTGTGGACCACGGTGCAGATCAAGGACCTCGAGGCGTGCAGCAGCAAGTACGGAGATGCGATGGGACCGGGAAGCATCTGCGCGGGCTACGACCCGGGCGGCAAGGACTCGTGCCAGGTGCGTCCTCGACCCCACTCTCCCCAATCACGTCCTCGTCTCTCGCTCCCGCTCTGGACGCCCTCCTCGTCGCTGTCCCCAGGGCGACTCCGGCGGCCCGCTGACGTGCGACGGCCGCCTAGCCGGCGTCGTGTCCTTTGGGCACGGCTGTGCCGTGGCCGGCTTCCCCGGGGTGTACACGGCCACGTCCGGCCACTTGGACTGGATCCGCGAGCACACCGGCGCCCAGAGCGGCCAGGCCCGCCTCACGCCGCTCGCCGCCCCCATGGGTACGTACCACACGCCCCGTCCCCATGCCCGACGTCACCGTCGTCCTAATGCGTTGTCGCCCCTTGCAGTCGCCCACACCCTCCTCATGCTGGTCCTCGTGGGAGCGCTGTCCTAAAAAAAGAGGACTTTCGCACGTCTTCAGGCAACCATTAAATTTTCCCCCTTCTCCGGCGTGACAGCTCGTTTCCGGTCTCCAGAGAGAGAGAGAGGGAGTAGAGATAAAAAGAACGCGGTACACTCACACTGAGCACTCCCTCGGGGTTGGAAGGAGGGGGCAGGGCGGGGGGAGTAGGTCGAAGATCAAAGTCACGCGCGGCTGGAGCTCTCATCGGACGACGTTTAGCGAACCGGGACCGGGCTCGATCAATATTGAGTCTGTCTCCTCGGCGGCGCTGGGCTGCATTGCCTGCCTGGCGCGGGCCGCACGTCTGCCGCCCGGAGCGGAGCAGCCAGCCGAGCGGAGCCAGGCGGAGCCAGGTGAGGCCCCCTCGGGTACCTGGCGCCACAGCCCAGCCCAGCCCCAAGGTCCCGGAGGCAGCGAGGTCGGGGCTTATCTCTTATCGGGAGCAGGCGAGCAGGCGAGCGCCTTGATAAGGTGTTAGGGCTAAACTTCTTGGTTTCCATTTCGCCCATCTTGTCGTGGTAGTGCAAGATGCCTCCTCCCCCCCC